AACCGGGCCATCCCCCGGTCCCCAACCATCCCCCCCCACCAGTGCACACCCCCACGCTCGGGCAGTCAAGGGACCTTGGAGCCCGCATCCCATCTCCTTCCTCTCCCACCATCTCAGAAGTGCGTTCAAGGCCAGGCCGTAAAGGGGCAGCTGTGAGCCTCCTACCTTAGGATCCTGGTGGCTCAGTGACGGGTGTCCAGGAAGCAGCCTCAGCGAGCAGGGAACGCCTCCCTTCCTCCCGCCGGCCTGGGAGAGCTGGGCTTGGCGAAGGGGCTCCGTGGCCTCCCCCGTGGCCCCCACCCTGGCTGCCGCCAGGTCTCAGGTGGCGGCCTGCCTTCTTCTGCCCAGAGGTCCCAGGGACAACCGGCAGGTTCATGGCTCTCGGGGACTTTCCTGGATGGACCAGTTCTCCCGAGCGCCTGCCACTGCCCCCCTCACCCATCCCCGCTGCCCGGCGGTGTCACCTGGGGGCAGTCTGGGGGAGTATTGGCTACACAGCCCACCCTTCCCCCGCACGTCCGTGTAGGGACGGAGCCTGGAGCCAGAACAAAGTCATGCTCAGCTTAGGAGAACCCAGGGAGGAGGTGGCCCATACAGGGCCGTGAGTTTCCCGGTTGGGCCTCACCTGTCTTGCTCTGGGCTAGCAAGCGGGGCTCCCGAGCAGCGTTTCGGGGATGCGAGACTACAGCCCGGTCAAGTGTGCTAAGAACTCCGAGCTGGGACTGAAGCCCAGGCTGCCAGACCCTTCAGAACATGCCCCTGCCTGCTCCGGTGGCCTTTTCCCGGCCCACCGACCCTCCCCACACGCCACATGGTGTTCTGTGACTTCCCGTGTGTTCTCCCCTCTGCTCACGATGCCTGGCCCTCCAGTGGTTTTGAATCAGGCGGTGCCTATTCAGCCATTAAGGCCCAGCTCAAATGATACCTCCCCCGGGAAGCCCTCCCAGGCCTCCTTCTCAGGTATCAGTCATGGCCCCTCCCTCTGTTCCTCTCCTTCCCTGCCATGCGATAGTTTCTTTCTTTTGGTTTTTATCCTCACCGGGCTGATGCCTTCCCTGGCATGCAGACTGGGTCCTCGGGTTCGTGGCTGGGCCCCCGTTGCCGGGCACGCTGTGTGCCAGGCCCTCAGTCTGAGGCTGGGGAACATACGAGCAGGGGTGAACAAGCAGCTGGAGGGAATCAGGACTGAGCACACAGTCCCCAGCTTACGACTCAATAAGGCCCCAAATCCTGACGCGCAGAAAGGGAACCCGTCCTTATCGACAGCCATTGACAGGCCCAAATGCACCCGTCGGCAAATGTTTGTGTAAGGGACTCTCCCCGGTCCTCCCCGCCGCCCGCCCCCAGGGCCGGCAGAGTGCAGGCTCAGCAGTTCTGCCCTGCGTGGGAGAGAAGCCCCCTTCAATAAATTGAGTTCCGAAGACAGCATTATTGCCTCACCCCAGCGGAAAGCCTCGGCCACAAGCGTTTCTGCGGGATCTGCCGTCTCCGAGTATCGGCTGCCCCCGCGGCCCGCACGGGGGCAGGTGCGGTCCTGGCAGGTGCAGTGGGAGGCTGCAGCTGGTTCGTACGATTCTTGCCATCAGTTCCCCAACAACCCCACGAGATGGGCACGATTCGCCCCGTTTTACGGACGGGAGAACTGAGACCAAGCCAGCATCGGGGTGACACGTGACCCCTGCCGTTTATTAAGGACTCGCTCTGCGCCAGGGGGCCCGCCCTCAGTCTGTGACCTGCGTGGCCTTGTGTTTCCTCCCGGAGCTGCAGCCGCTCGAGGCCCTGCTGGCTCCGTTTTGCAGACAGGGAAACTGAGGCATCGCCTGTGGTCATGCAGCTGGAGAGTGACCGGTTTGAACAGCAGGCCGGCTGTGGAGCCTCCCACCCCGCCCGGCCATCCCGTGCTGCCCGATTACTAGCCAATGCCACTTTCCAGAAGCTTGGGGCCTTTATTAGATGTGGGGTGTGTGAGCATTTACTGCACGGCTGCCTTCGTCCGGACTCGTCCAGATCCTGAACGTAGAATCTCCAGGGTCCCTTCCAGAAATGGAGGGGGTGAGTAATCGTGATAGAAAACGGCATAAGGCCCTTTGGTGTTGACACAGTGCGTCCTCATAGAAGCCGTGTGGGGTGCGTGGCACGGTGTGCCCACTTACAGGTGAGGGGGCTCAAGCGCAAAGGTGATATGAGGCCCCTGAGGTCAGTTTTGAAGGTCAGCCAAGCTCTGTGTTTAGACCCCCTTTGTTCCTGGAGGAACACTGTCCTCGCAGGTTCCGGAAGGGGTCATCGACTCTGAGCTAACCAAGCATGTGCAAGTCAGTGCTACCAGCCCCCCACCCGGCACTAAGGGTAGACGGGCAGGGTCCCACCAGGGAACACAATTGACCCCAAGGATTGGCAGGAAGAACCTGTAATGCGGAGGTGTGGGCAGGGGCCAGAGGTGAGCAACTCCCCCCACCCCACACACCTGCCACTCCCCCGTCGTCCCGTCCCCAGGGCCTGCAGGGGCAGAGGGAGGAAACGACGCAGACAGCCACCTAGTCCCCTAGTGTAGAGGGACACAGCCAGTGCCAGAGAACAAAGCAGGTGGGGAGCTGGGGTGGGAAATGCCTGCGGCCCCCCCCTTCTTCCCACCTCTACTCTCCCCCGGGTCTCCCATTGGCCCATTCCCTTTGTAAAGCCAGAGGGCCAGGTCCCCCAGGGACACCTTCCGGGGTACAGCAGGACAGAGAATGGATCTGGCGGCACCAGAGAATACGTGTGGTGCCCACAAACACCAGGGCGTGCGGCTGGGGTGAGGGGCGGGAGTATCCGGTCTGGAAGGGTCTCTCGCGGCCACGTGGCAACCCTCCACACTGGCCTCACCCGTCTGGGTCGTGAAGAGGCGGCAGGAAGGCAGGCTGCGAGTTTGGGGGACAGAGAGCCTGAGAGTAATTCCCAGTCGTGTTTCACAGCACTCTTTCCCAAAGAAACACATGATAATCCTCTTAGAACAAAAGAAAGCTCTCCAGAACACAGCAAGATAAGAGACAGGGATTTGTACCCTAGGATCCATGAAACCTTGTCTTCGTGGATCCTAGTCTAGGGCTGGCCTCAGAGGGGCCGTGAACACCCAGAAACGTCCCCCGGGGGGCGTGCACGTGCGCCCACACCCCTTTGGCAAGAGGATCTGTTGTCCGATTTTCTGTAAGGTCCTGGTCCCTAAAAGGTTGGCTTTAAGGAGAAGGAGCATTGACCTTGTCACCAACGGGACCCAGATTCTGCTGCTTCCCGGCTGGGTGTCCAGGGAGGATTCCCTGTGCCCTGTGGGCTTCCGTTTCCCCTTTTACAAACAAACCGGGCCGACAAAGACGTCGCTCCTAAAATTGTTGTGAAGATGATGCACAGAGTAACAAAAGCAGCGGGAGCTGCCTTTTTGGGTTTCTTCAGCCACGCTCCCGGGAGGCAGAGGCCGCTTGTCTGCCCACTTTACAGAGTAAGGGGCGAGATGAAGTAACTTGCCCGGGGTCACGCAGGCGGCAAACGGGGGAAGCCGGGCTCAAACTCACACAGTCAGGCCGAAGCGCCCCGTACCCGGGCTGATGGCTCCATCAATCCTTCCTGTGCTAGCTGGACCCTGGGGAAGGGGGGTAGACAAGTGTGTGCAGAACAGGTGCTCTGGAGTCGTGCGTCCCTCTCACCCGCCCACCCCATTGTCCGCCCCATCTCTTTAGGAACCCCCTGAGCGTTCAGAATAGGGCTGCTGGCCTCCTGCTCTCCTGGTTGGACCCTGTTCCCCGCTCTGCCCCTTCCCTGTGGCGAAAAGTACCCAGCTCATTATGCCGAAATCTGCCTTGTTCGGCGCTCCTAGGGCCCTGGCAGGCTCCAAGGGCAGGTGGCACCCATGCCCAGTTTCCTCCCTCCGCGCCGAGCTCTGCCAGGAAGGCACACAGACCTCAGGTGGAGGCCCCGGCCCCGTTTGCCCAGCCCGAGCCCCGAGGCTGCGACAAAGGGCTCCCTGTGGAATGTGGGCCAGGGAACCACAGGCAGGCGTCTCAGCCATTCAGCCGGGCCAGGCACACAGCCTGCTGGCGAACCAAGAGCTTCCCAGCCCTTGCAGCCGGCCCCCTCTCCAGCCACGAGTCCCCCGATGAGCCTAGGTCAAGGCGGACAGCTCCATGCGCGGTTCAGGTTAGATGGCGCTAATGATTATTATCACCGCAGTAACAACTTTCATCTGTTGAGTCTCACTCCCTGCCAGGAGCTACCTGCGGGATTATTCACAGGTATTAATCCTGCCGAATCCTAGGAGCTCAATACTGTCGTTACCTTCTGTTTTGCACATGAGGAAACTGAGGCACGGAGAGGGCAGGTCACTTGCCCAAGGGGCACCCCGTGGCTAGCGGCCGAGTCGGGCGTCTTCCCGTCAGCAGGTGTGCACCCTTCCGTTTACTCCGGGCCGCGTCCCCATCCGTGCTCTGGGAGCTCAGGCGAGACCCTCGGGCCTCAGCTTTGTCATCTGTACAATGGGACTAGGGTGCCCACCTCATTTGGGCCGAGGGAGTTGACGCCTGTAATGTGCCTGGAGGGGCCCCTGGCACAGGTGAGCGTGTGACAAATGTCTCCCCTCTCTGCGCCGCCAGGAGCACCTCGTTGACCTTATGCTGCAGTCAGGCCCGGCCACGGGAGGAGAGAATAGAGAAGAGCCCCGGTTTTTATAAGCCTGGGCGATACCGAGTGTGTGCGCGTGGGCACATGTGTGTGACAGAGAGAGGGAGTATGCCCAACACGTGGGCAGCACTCAGGACAGGGCATTTGCACAGTAGCATCGAGGAAGAGGAGGAGG